AGGCGTGTAGCTTAGTATCATTATAATATTATAAAATAATAATATGTAATAATGTAAGATATGGCTTATGAAATTATGAGTACACACGACGACCTTTAGCAGCGATGCAATTGCGCGTTTGCACCGCTGTTAAAAGTCTCCGTGTGTCCGCTCTATAATTGACAGAGTAGAAAAAAGAGTACAGGTGTAGAAAAAACGCATTAAAGAAGGACCGAAGTAAGTCGAACTCGTGTCCTATAGCTTATACGTATAATCGAGAGTTCACCAGAACGAAGTGCTTCCAAAGCATTGGCCTACCAAGAAATAGATAGGTAAATATTCCAAATCATTTTGTTTTTAATACAATGACACGGCATATCGAAACTAAACATGGTCATTACGTAATAAGTAGTTAGTTTCTGTGGAATCTATTTTTAAGCGAATATAAATTCCATGTGAATGAAGATTAGCAAAAATTATGTTTTTGTATGATAAAAATATGGCCGCAGTGGAGATGAAGTAAAGACGAGGAAATTTGATGAATAACTATATTAAATTTAAAAAAAATCTTAACTAAAGAAATTTAGTCTACGTCTGATTTTAGGAACGGGCTGAAAAGTGAGTTTATAATTAACTTTTAAAATTGTAATGCACAGGGCGCAAGTTTCTGCTGCGAATGCTAGCGCGTTGACCTGATGTTACAGTAATTCGCATATCTCATAGTAATATATCATATAGTAAGCCCTCCGCCAATGATACTCTCACCCGAGGCACTAGCCTCTCGAAGAACCGGATGAAGTCAAGTGACAGAGGTCTGTGAGAACCCTGTACACTGGCTGATCTGGGGTCAGAACCAGAACTTATAAGATTCCTGTGCGCGCACAGATTATAGTGTCTTTCTCGTATGCCCTAAGGGTAGGTAGGGAGGTCACTATAAGCAAAACTAACGTAGATAGATATGGTGCTTGTAATTGGATCTTGCATTGTTAATTGCTTTTGAATATTGTTTAAATTCGTAAGTTCGATAATGGTCACATTAAAATTCAATAGGTTGCGTTTCTCGGTGGATTTTGGCAGATGTTACAGTAATTCGCATATTTGGATATAAAACACACGTTCCAGTCATTAAATACCTGTAGTTAATGACTGGAATGATTACCTTAAACTTAAATTCGTAAGGTTCGTAACGTAACTTTTTTTATGTAAAGAAGGAGGCAAACGAGTTTACGAGCCACTTCATTGGAGGTGGTTATCATCGCCCATGGACTGCCTAAGCGTTGTCAGCCTTTGAGAGCCCTGTAAACATGCTTTTTGAAGAACCCCATGCCATAGAGCATAGGAAATACTTCGGGAGGAAGATCATTCTACATCTTACAGATTCGGTGAAGGAACGAACTAGATGCCTGTGTGGTCTTTCAATGCCAGGCATCTAATAGAATAGACTAGAATAGAATAGAATAGAATAGAATACGTTTATTTGCCAGAATACAGTAATTAAGTCTTAAGTAAAATTAGGCACATTGTATTCAACCTGCAAGCAGATGTGCAAATATTAATGGGATTCAATGTTTCTTTAGTCTCTATAGTTTCTAATTAATGTAATGAATTTGTAAATTCTAAGTATTCTTTATTACTATAGAAGCAATGTGTCAAAAGCCATTTTGTCAATTTTAATTTAAAAGTATGTCCTTGTAACAATTTAATTTCGTTTGGTAATTTATTGTAAATAATTATACACATGTTGAAGCAGTTATTCTTATAAATTACTTTATGGCAACGAGGTTGGTATAAGAGATTCATAATTTTTGCTCTAGTTTGCCTTTGAATGACTTCACCGCGTGTTTTAAAATATTGAGGATGAGAGTTGACAAATACGCAGATATCCCTAATGTACATGCATGCAAAGGTAATATGTTCAGCCTTTTAAACAGCGGTTTGCAACTGTCA